TCTAGCACAAGGGCATTATTATTTCATGACAAGCTGGCTACTGCTGCTCACCCCGGAGCAAGCTGCATGGAGTTCCCCGTGTGAGAAGTAGCTCCCGTACCCAACAATTGTACAGTTCTAAACTTTTGCTTGTGTGACTTTTCATTTGAAAGTCATGTTTGGACTATTGTTTGTTCTCTGCCTTGGCCATCTTAATTTGTGACATGCCCTTCCTGATGGCAGTCACATTGCTTTTCCTGTTGTGCCTCTGTTTCTGCTACTCTGAGTAGAACAACCTGTGTCAGACCTCCTAGTGTGAGCATCATTTAGGCCACACAGCCATCAAACCATCCTGAAGATGCACTTTGGTGAAAAGCCTTCTGGCAGGTTTTATTCAGCATAGTAACAGAAGCTTTAGGTATATTAGCTTCATATGTGACTCTCTTCAAAAAAAGGCTCTGAGATGGCTGATAGGATATGGTCTGATTAGGCAATAAACCAAAAAACCCATTGCCGTTGAGTCAATTCCAACTCATAGTGACCCTATAGGATAGAGCAGAACTGCCCCATAGGGTTTCCAGGGAGCAGCTGGTGGATTCGAACTGCTGACCTTTTGGTTAGCAGCCCAGCTCATTGTGTCACCAGGGCTCCTCCATCATCATCATCATCATCATCATCATCATCGTCATCATCATCATTAAATAATAGCATTAGCAGTTGCCTGGCCCCAATTACTGCAATTGAGCACTGTAAGTTGTGGCCAGGTTTCCTGGTGGTTTAGTCAAAAAGGAAAAGAAACATGTAGTTTGTAGAACCTAAGAGATCTAGCCTTGTGCAAAGTTTGGTTGTACGAACAAGGAGAAAGGACTAGAATACAGGAGATAATTAGAAACCAGTTCAAGGCTGCAATGAGGACAAGATGGTAAGAACAATAGAATTCCCAAAGAAGGAGAGGTCTTGCATGTCCAATGAGCTGAGATCTTGAAGGATGGAAGTTTTTGGAGGAATCGGGGTGGTGGGGGGGTTGTGTGTGCATTCCACTTCAGACTCCTGGCAGGGTTCCTGCTTCTCCTCCCCTCCCAGGAGCCCAGGGTGGGGTGTGTAAGCCGATAAGGCAGGTGACCCTGCCCTGGTCCCCCAGAGCTCTTGGTCCGCTTTCACTCTCTGTAGAGTTTGTGCTGCTGGCTGTTCTCATTCCTGTCTCTCCAGCTGGGCTCGCAGCCCACTCTGGATTTATTCGTTTGGATGGGTGGAACTTGCTTTACACCAGGGAAGGATTCCTGGAAACATGGTTTGAGACTAGATTTGGGTAAATTAAACCCAATTTCCACTGCTCTGGATTTACTCAAGGTTAAAAGAAATCTTATCATGAACCTATAAGGAAAGACTCCCTTTCCTAACTCAATTCTTTCTGGTTATTTTTTATGTAGGACTTGGGTATGTGCTGTTTGAGGGGAGCTTCCTTAGAGAGGGGGGCACCTGCAGTGTTGTTCATTGATTTCTCATAGTCACCTGGATCTGAAGGATGGAAGTTCAGGTTCAGCATCGAAGTACGCACAGGTCACTGGATTTGGCCATGACCTGCAGCCACCTGGTTTTCTCTGGTCCTAGATTCTGGCAGCTGTTGCAAGCAGGAAGGGATGACTGTGGCAAGGACATGATCCTGTGGGATGGCCTAGCGAGGGACCCTGTCTCCAGGCCTCCCATCTCTTAGGCATCACTGCTGACACCACCAGTGTTGCTCTTCTCCCCCACCCCTCTGTGTGCCAGAGTCTAATTCCTACTCCTCCAAACCTTCCATAGGCATTAGGCCATTTTAGCCTTAAAATAACCCTGCAAAGAAGGCGAGGGAGGTATTTCCGTCCTCGTTTTACAGAAGAAGAAAAAGAGGCTCAGAGATTTACTAAATTTCCCAGAGTCAGCGAGCTAAGCAGCAGAGTGAACACAAGAACCAAAGTTTTTATTTTTATTATTATTGGTCCACTTCCCTGCCCTCTGCGCCTCCTGAATCATCTGCTTTTTTTGCCTTGCATTTCCACGTAGTGAGTGTGTGTTAAAGTGGTTTTCCTGGAAAAGAGCTCTGTTTCTCTGGAAAGATTCATTTCAGCCATGGTACACTTGTATTATGGAGACTTCCAAGGTTTCTGCTGGGGAGGTCTAAAACAACAGACAAGTACCTTGGAGATCCATAGGCTCGAAGGCTTAATTTTACAGATGTGAGCATTGAGGCCCAGAGAAGTTAAGCTACTTGCCCAAGGTCACACAGCTAGTTCTCAGCAAAACCAGTTGTGCAGATTCCCAGCCCAATGCCCCTCACTTTTCACCAGGCCTGGTGCCCCTGCTCTGTAGGGCTGTCGGTTCTGTGCTGACACCGGAGGGAAGAAGGTGAAGACAGCAGGAAGAGCAGGAAGCAGTTGGTTTGTGCTGGTCGCAGCTGCTCCCTTGGCCGTCCCTGCCTGTGCTCTTCGCCCTGGCTCTCTGTCTTCCCGCTCTCCCAGCCCAGAGCCAGCGGCCTTGTCTGCCTGCTGGCCGGAGGGCCAGGGTGTGTGAGCCAGGGGCTGTCCTCTGTACATTGTAATGAGGCAGAAGGGGGTCCTTCTAACCCAGAAGAGGGCTTGCTAGGGTAGGCTAGAGAGAAGGGATTCTGAAGGGGGCCAGCTTGGGGTGGGAGCAGCGGAACTGGATTAATTCCGTAGATCCAGGGTACTGGGAAATAAATCATGTTTTTTAAAATAAAACTTTAAAAAAAGACAGGCTCGTTTCTGGCCTGCTTCCCATTTTCCTTTGGAGAAACAGGCATGTAGGCCTGCTGGTGGGGAGTGAAGAAGGCAGGCGTGAGCTCAGCTTGGTGATGTCTGACACTTGGTTGTGGGGACTCAGTTTCCAAGGACTGAGGGGGTTTCTGGCTGCTAAGAGATTCTGGCCTTAAGCCAATCTCTGTTTACCACTGGGTGAAGTTCCCAGGAGCCCCTGTACCCTAATTGCAGCTGACCTGGTATCTGCAGATGTCTATGGGAAGCTTCTCTGCCTGAGTGCCAGGATTTTCTCAGCATGTCCAGTATCGGACCCCATCTGGCTCTCGTCCTTACAACTCTGAAAGTGTGATTTTCCTGGTGCCCCCCAAGCTACTTCAACCCAGGGAGCCAGGCTCATGCTAACTGAGCTCATGGGAGATGCTCCTGATGACCGCTAACCGTTATCAAGCCCTGGCTATGTTCTAGACGGCGTGATGAACACTTAATTGCATATTACCTCATTTAATCTTCACAACAGCCTAGAAGCTTTATAGTTTTTACAAGTGAGGAAACAGGCTCAGAGTGGTTAAGCAGCTTCCCCAAAGGGACAGAGCCTGGATTTGAACCCTGGCAGTCAGACTCTAGAAGCCCCGCTAAACCTCTGTCAGAGCCCCAATCTTTTGGTTTACAGTGAGAACTGGAAAGGCCAGGCCTCCCAGTTCCTCATAGGCACCAATCTGCTGTTGGGAGGTGGCTTGCTGCGCCAGTGGGGGAAAGTTAGGTGCTTTAAATGGTTAGTGGCATCAAGCTCGGATTGTCTGATGTCTGTGTCGTCCCCTCAAGAGATGGACATTGTCCTAGCTGTGTGACCTTGGGCAAGATACTTAACCTCTCTGCTCCAGTTTCTTCATCTGCAAAATGGAGGGAATAATAGCCCCTGCCACTTTAGGTTTGTTGTGAAAAATGAGTTAATATATGAAAGTGCTCAGCCTAATGACGGGTTCAGTCGATGCTGTGGAAATGTTTGTTGCTGTTTGGGTTGTTGTCACCATCTGTCATTGGGTCAGGCAGCTCTCCTGGCTGGCACTGAGTGGGCAGTGTGAAGTTTGCCTCTTGGACTTGCACCTCAGTGTTTCATTTTAATTGTCCCTGCTGCAGCCAATGCTCTCCTCCTTTGGAGGCAATGAGCAGCCCAGCAGAGAAAGTGCCAATCTCAGGGTACCCCAGACCTGCTTCCATTTCTAGCTCTGCCACTCTGTGGTTGTGGGAACTTGGGTCAGTTAATTCTCATGTCTAAAGTCAAATTCCACATCTGTAAAATGGGGCTAAAAATTTCCTACCTACCTTAGGAGGTTATCCTGTGGAAAATGGGCCGCTGTAGGCAGACCATCAATACTTGTTGCGTAGTGACCCTCTGATAGTCTAGAAAGGTTCATACCATTGTTCAAGCTAAGAGGTTTCTGCATCATTATACTGTTACTATATTGTACCTCAAAGTTGTATGTTCTTTCACAGTGCTTTGATTTTACTCCTCTTGGCAGGAAGACAACTTTTAACCCCATTTCACAGATGAGGAGACTCAGGCTCAGATCGGACACCGCTGTCTGAGCCTGGAATAGAGCCCTCATCTCTTCTGGTCACTGAAAGCCCCTGCTCTTTTAGACGGGGGGAGGAGGGGTATGAGATTGGGGAGTCTCTGAAATGAGGTTTCCTTACACTCTACCAAGGCTGGCCTGTCTCCCTCAGCTGTAGGGGGGAGGGGGTGAGGCACGGCTGTGACAGAGCTGGACAGGAGATGAGGGCCCCGTGGATGTGGTGCCAGACCCTGGACACAGGCCTAGGCGCTCACTCCAGCCCTGATGTTTGAGGTTCTGGGTCCAGGCCTCTGAGCTTGCTGACCTGCGAGGGTCCTCAGAGCTCCCAGGCCCTGTGGGGCCAGCCACCCACACGGCCAGAGAGGAAGGGCCAGGCTGCCTTCTCTAGGGCAGCAATAACCCATGGGCCTTGTTCCAGAGGCGGGTGGTGTAGTATTCTCTGGGCTCCAGAGGATTCCTGTGTTTCGGCAGACACCTCATTATCCCTGTCCCAGCCGGCTGTGTCCCAGCCTCTGTAATCACGCAGGCCCACGCCCAGCAGCCAGCCCAGGGCCAGGAAATCACTCCCCTCCCCTCCCCCGCCTTCCGCCGCCCGCAGGCCCCATTGCTGGTGGACCTCCTGCCTGCCTAACTGTTCTTTCTCCTCTGATTCTCGTCTCCTGCTGCTGCTTTCTCTCGGGGGACTTGGAAGTGTGGCTGTCCAGCTGGGCTGAGTCTCCCAAAAAGGACGTGACAGGTATGCGTGTGAGCGCATGCATGTGAACGTGTGTGTCCCAGGCACGCCTGTGTGGAAGCTGGTGCCACAGGCTGCTCCTTGCATGCTTCTCTGTGATGTGGCAGCCCTTTGTCAGCATGTCGGGCCTCTTCCCTGCCCCCTCATGCCATTCAACTCATGGTGCCCTCTGCCTTCCTGGGCCACCCCTTTTGGGATCTCACACCAAGCTTTGGAGCCCTTTGTTGGGGTGGTGACCACATAGCACAGTGTGGAAGCAGATGAGCTCTGGACCAGAGCGTGTGGGTTTGAATCACAGCTCTGCCACGTCTGCCTTGGGCAGCTTATGTAAACTCCCTAAGCCCTCAGTTTCCTCATCTGTAAAATGTAGATGTAATACCCCCCTCATGGGGAGGTGGTGAGGGGGCTGGGCGCTGTCATCTCTTTTGTGTGTCGGGAGCTTGCCAAACTTTGCCTAGTGCATCCATTATCTCAGTGGGCCATCCTATGAGATGAGCCCGCCAAAGGTTATTTATCTCGTTTTCAGGCAGTTACACAGAGGCAGAGAGATTAAGTCCCTGACTGCTGAGCCTGGTTTCCAGTGGGGCAGGGCATGCAGGAGTCCTGGGGCTGTGACAGGGTTGGGTCACAGCCCCTTCATCCCTGCCACCTGGAGTTTGGAGTTGCCTCTGGCCTCAGAGGGCTTTGGCCGAGGCCTAGCCTTAGGCGCTTGGGCAGAGCTGGGCCAGAGGTCAGGGCTGGCCTTTAGGCTTTGGTCTTGCTGGATAATGGCAGAAAAACCTGGAGAACTGAGCTGCTACAGGGAGATGGGGCGGGGGCGGGGAGGATTTGTGGTGGATTTCAGGAAGGGTTTTCCATAGTGCCTCTCCATTTCCTAAAGTATTACCTAACCCCCCGCCCCTCCAGACCCAAACCCGGAAAGAAACTGAAAGCAGAGGTTCAGGCTGGGGTTGGGGGGGACAAGGCAGAATGGTCAGGGGTTAGCCCCCAGTGTCAAAGCCCAAGGCCCAGCCCCTCCCCACCACAGCTGTGGGCAGTGAATGGGAGGGGGACATCCCAGGAGGGGGAGCCTAGCAGAAGGCAGCAGGAGTGGAAGAGCCCTTTCCTTGTCTTGCCTGGCCCCAAGCTCCTTGCATTCATTCTTCTGGTGTTCCCTGTGATGAGGGCTGTGCTGAGCTAATCACTGGGCTCGTGTCCCTTTTTCCCCTCTCCACGAGCCAGTGAGCTGGAGCCCACTTGGCCCACAACAATACATTTTATTCACCAAACGTATAGCTGGGCCGCCTGTGAGCCTATGGAGAGGCCGGCAGGCCCAGCCCGGCCTGGGAGGATCCAGTTATGAGGAACAGGAGGGACCTTGGTGGATTGCCCAGGGTTTGTTGGGGGGTCAAGGAGAACATGGGGAGCCCGGGGCGGAGGCCATCGCAGGGTTTGGCTTCTCAGGACGGGCCCAGCTGTTTGGAGCAAGAGGTGCAGTGGGGAGGCAGTGTGGGCCATGGGTCAGGAGGGGAGGTGGACCCAGTCAGACTGGGAGACCAGGGTCAGAGCCTCAGGCAAGTCACCAGGCCTCTCTGGACCTTGGTTTCCCCATCTAGAATGTTGGAAAGTTTGATGAGACAGGACACTTGGAGGTGAGGGGCTGATGCCAGAGAGCCGCGTAGATAGGGGTCCTGGGGCGGCTCGGCCGCCTACCTGGAGGTGGAGAATGAGAGAGCCATGCTGCAGGGACAGAGCCATGGGCCTCCCTTCCCCACCCTTCTGGCATCTGTGACCCTTGCCCTGAGCTGCTTCATTCTGAGGCTGTGGAGGACCATGAACCCCTCCAGCTCCTCTCCAAATCTCCCATTTCCTCTGTTTGCTTTATAAACTACTAAATACAGTTTACGCTGGGCATTAACCCGTCACCTTATTCCAAGCTCAGATCAACCCCATGAGGTAGGCACTGTGACTATTCCTGTTTACAGATAAGGAAGCTAAAGCTCAGAGAGGTTAAGTGTCCTCTCCAGAGTCACACAGCTAGTAGGAGCCAAAGCAGGACTGGACCTAAGACCCCCAGACTCTAATTTCTGTGGTTTCTGCTTCTCTGCACTCTGGACAGTTGCATCAGGAATCTCAGGCAGTTATTGTGTCCAGTGCCATGTCCTGGAGCGCCGACCCTGGGGCATCTGTCCTCATCAGGGAGACTCTTGTCTATAAAGCATATGGTGTGGTTGGGGAACAGTGCCTAGCAGGAAGTCCAGGAGAGGTCACTGTCCTGGCTGGGTGATCAGGGAGCCTCCTGGAGCCCAGAGGGGTAGAGATGATTGGGTGGAATTGGGATTGGTAGAGAGAAGGAGGGAGGGCATTCCAGGCAGGGGGTACAGCCAATGCAAAGGCTTAGAAGTAAGAACCTGCATAGACTAGGTGGCTGGCACATAGCGGGCACTTGATAAATATGTGTTGAATAATGTTGCCTGGAACGGACGAGTTGTGTGTCACGGAACTTGGGGACGCTTGGGCTTGAATTTGGCCTTTATTCTGTAGGTAACAGGGAGCCATTGAAAGTGTTGAAGCAGGGGAATGACTTGGCAAAAGCTAAATTTAGAAGTTTAAATTGGCAGCCAGGATCAGGCAGGAGTCAGGGGGACCGTCCAGGTGGTAGTTGGAGGAATGCAGGTGTGAGGCAAGGGTGGAGCAGGGCTCCAGGGATTCCCCAGGCTCCAGTAGGCCCAGCCAGGGGCTCTGTCATGAGGCACAGGTCCACCCCTGGACAAGACCCAAGTTCTTGCAAAGTCCCTTCTAATCCTGGGAGGGGCCCTCCTCTCTAGAAGGGGCACCCCTTCTCCATGCTTTTGCTAAACCCTTCTCATCTGAAGGCAGGAGGCGCCTTCCACTGCTCCCTCCTGCTCCCCCAGGCTGACTCCTCAGCCCCCAATTTTCCAGGCCTTGGCTGGGAGGGGATCCAGAGCGGCTGTGGGATGACGTCACTGCCCACCCGCCTGCTTGCCAAGTGGTTTCTCTTCTGGATACCTGGTCCCAGCCCACGCTGCCGAGGCAGCCCTGGGCAGACAACACACTAGGAGGCAGGTGCCAGAGAGAGCCTGTGTGCTGGGGGAGGGGAGGGCAGCCAGGAGGACAGAGCATTTGTCTGTGTGTCTGTCTATCTTTCCCACAGCCTGTGGAGCAGCCTCCAAGAAGTGTCACACCCTGTCTGTGCTCTGTTGTAACGCCTGGGGTAACTTTCCTTAACTTTTCTACCTGTATCCCAGAGTGTTGGCCTTCTGAAAGCTCAGGCCAATTTTCCAAGAAGCCTGGGTGCGCACGTGCGTGCGTGCGTGCGCGTGTGTGCGTGCGTCTGCATGTGCATGTGCGTGTGCGTGCGCGCGCCTCTGTGGAGACCTAAATGGGGAAGGTTTTAGGTCTTAAATATTTGCCACCACACTTTGAACAGTGGTTAGAATTTATCTAGATGAAGATGTCCAGGCCTGGAGAGGTTAAGTTCAATTAGACACAGTTTTCCTTCCCCACTGTCCTCATCCAGTGTCCCCCAAACTGGGAAGGGAGCCCCCATGCCTCGGCCGGCCTTGTTTGTGCTGAGTGCACTTAAGTGCTCTTGGCTGCAGACGCCGCCACAAGCCCTGTGCTGCCTGGCCAAGGCCCCCAGGACAGGCGCTGACCTCCCCCCAGGGTACAGTGGGAGGTAGTCTCTGTCAGTGCTGTGCCCGGGGACGCCTCTGTCTGGCCACCAGGGGGCGGGCACAGGAGCTGGCCATATCCAAGTGCAGGGGCGAGTGGCCCTGCTGCCCAGCTGTTGGTTGCATTTCTGCCTGAAATACAATCCTGGCACTGGAGGGGCTGCCTGGGGGTGTGCATATGCATGTCCATGTGGCCAGCCTTCCCTTCCCTCAGGTCTTTAAAGGGTGAAACGGGGCTGCAGGGCCCACGGCCTCATGGGAGAAAACTGCCAGGCCCTCCACTGGGATCTCCCAAAGTTGTTTCCATCACCCCCTGCCCTAGATTGGATGGAGCCCCCTCCCTCGTGGAAGGACCCAAAGATCTAAGCAGTGCTTCTCTCCCCTGGCTGCATCTCAGAAGTGAAGGGGCCCCACCCAGACCATTTAAGTCTAGGTCTCTAGGGGTGGAGCCCAGGCATCTGTATTTTTTTAATACATGAAAGCTCTCCAGGTGATTCTGTGCTACAGAGGGGAGGATCTTTGTGCTAGAAGAATGGGCTGTGTGAAACAGAAAAAGGAGGCGGTTGTTCTGTAATGGAAAGAGATGGGCTTGAACCTAAACAGTGAGTGATTTTGGTTCTCGCCATACCAGTGGTGTGAGCTCTCGCTCTCTTTAGGCCTCTGTCATGGATTGAATTATGTCCCCCCAAAAATGTGTGTATCGGTCTGGCTGGGCCATGATTCCTGGTACTGTGTGATTTTCCTGTATGTTGTAACCCTGCCTCTATGATGTTAATGAGGGAGGATGGGTGGCAGTTGTGTTAGTAAGGCAGGACCTGATCTACAAGACTGGATTGTGTCCTGAGGCAATCTCTTGAGATATAAAAGACAGAAGTGAGCAGTGAGACAGGGGGACCTCATACCATCAAGAAAGCAGTGCCGGGAGCAGAGCGTGTCGTTCGGACCGGGGTCCCTGCGCAGAGAAGTTCCTAGTCCGGGGGAACTTTAATGAGAAGGCCAATAGAGAGAGAAAGCCTTCCCCTGGAGCTGATGCCCAGAATTTGGACTTCCAGCCTACTTTACTGTGAAGAAATAAGTTTCTCTTTGTGAAAGCCATCCACTTGTGGTATTTCTGTTGTAGCAGCACTAGATGACTAAGACAGCCTCTGATTTGTCTTTTGTGAAATGGGGGCTAGGAGGAGTGTTATAAGGATGAAATGGGATAGCATACGTGTCTGGCACATAACATTTGCCAAATTGGAGCTAGGCGTGTAGGGAATATAGCTGTAGGCTGAGGTACCCAGGGGGCCATGTTGAGCCTGGAGACCCTCTCAGCTCTTTTTGTAGCCAGGCTGGTGGTGTGCAGCCCCCAGCTTTCCAGGAGATTGGCAGGCATAGAGGGTGGCAGACATAGTTTAAAAAGTACATTAAGAATTCTCTTTGGGCTGGGGATGGTCTAGGAAGGCTTCCTGTAGGAGGTGACTGGTCTCTGGTTTGTGAATTCTTGTAGCTCCTAGGAGCCCTGGTTGCACAGTGGTTAGAGCATTCGGCTGCTAACCGAAAGGTCCAGCAGTTTAAACCCACCAGCTGCTCCGCGGGAGAAGGATGTAGCATTCTGCTTCCGTAGATTTACAGCCTCGGAAATCCTATGGGGCAGTTCTTCTCTGTCTTGTAGGGTCACTATGAGTCAGAATTGACTGCGCAGCAGTTGGTTTTTATAGCTCCTGGTAGTGTACATCTCAGGTGTTTTGTCCCCAGCCCCACCCCCAACCTAATGACGGTGATGGTAATAATTGAAGAGCAGAGAGGTTTGGGGGCAGCTTGTCCAGTGTACACAGCCAGTAAGCTGAGATTGGCACCCAGGTCTGACCACCTTTCAGCTTAATGAATGTTGCTCCGGTCCAGTGGTTGAGGAGGACAGAGAAGGAGCTTGCTCCTGGGAGCCTTAGACCCGCCTGCCCTCCCTCTGCTGCTTCCCACTGGTAGAGGGCGGCTGGAGGCTGCTGGGAGCTGACCACAAGCCCCAGCATTTGAAGGCAGAAGGAGACTGAGTATGGCCATGTGGCCAGAGGACAGGAGGCAGGCCAGACCAACGCCCCCTCTGGACTGGGTGAGCAGGCCTGAGGCTGGTCCGTCTGCCCCAGGCCTTGGGCTCAGTGGCTGTGCCTTGGTGAATGGAGGGGCAGAAATGGAGCCGAACTTGAGGAGAAGTTGGTGGGGGTGGGAGGGGGGGCGGTGCTGGTCGGCTGGCGCTGGGACTTCTTCTTGGGTTTCAAGTAAACAGTCTCGGCCCTCCTCCCCCTCCCCTACCTCCACCCCCGGCTCCTCATTCGACGGGTCTCATGTGTTTCTATTTAAGGGTTGCGAGTAAACCCCAGTGATTGGCAGCCTCAAACCCTCTTGACTTCTCGCCTGGTCCCGGGCTGTGGAGAAGCGCTCTCCCGCTCTCTCCCTCCCGAGGGGAGGACGGCTGATTTTTTTCCTCGGGGGTTTACAGGGTTTGGGGCTGGAGGCAGGAGCCCTCCTCCTTGCCTTTCCTTTTTCTTCCCTCTCCTCCTCTCTGGCCTCAGCCCTCATGGGCCACCCACCCGCTCCCGGCCCTCCCCTCACGCCCCAGCCGGCCGTGGAGTCTGGAGAGACCACGTCCGCCCCAGGCCTCTCCTCAGACTCCCTCATGCCGGGCTGTGACTAACTCATCGCAGCAGAGGGCCTTTTCCTCTGAGTTTCCCTGGCTTCGCCCCCACCTCTGTCTCTGTCTCTCCTCTCCCTTTCCCCTCCTCCCCCTGCTCCTTCCCTGGCCCCCTTGCTCCCCATGTCCCCCGGTCCCCGCGGTGCAGCGGGCCGGTGTGGGGCCTTGCTGTATGGCCTGTCCTTGGGGCCCAGCGAGCTGCGAGCCCTGGCTGCGGGCTGCCCCTCGGAGCAGCACTGGCGACCGAGCAGCCTCCCCCGAAGCCAATGGACAGGGGGCGCCCCAGCCGCGGGGCCATGGCCGGCCGCTGGCTCACCGCGTGCTTTCTGCCCTCGCCAGGTGCCGACACCAACGCCGAGCCCATGATCCTGGAACAGTACGTGGTGGTGTCCAACTATAAGAAGCAGGAGAACTCAGAGCTGAGCCTCCAGGCCGGGGAGGTGGTGGATGTCATCGAGAAGAACGAAAGTGGTGAGTGCCCCAGCATCCAGCTGTCCACTCAGGGTTCCGGCCCGGCTCCTCGGACGGCTGGTTTTTGTTCCCTTTCTCCTCCCCCCACCTCTGCAGCTATACGTTATTTCCATCTGGCAGGGAGAGGGCTGTGGAGGCTGAAGTTTCCCCTGTTGGTTTGGGCTGCAGGCCAGCAGTTTGCCTGGTGGTAGAAGAATGTCTCCCCAGCTCCGGGGTAATTAACCAGCTCATGTTAATGCAAGGCCAGGGTGGCAGCCTCGGCCATAACTGTCCAGCTCCTGCCAGGGACCCATGTCCCTTGAGACCCAATGGGAAGAGAGCTTCCAGTTCAGTGGTGTCCAACAGCAGTTTCCCCTTCGGGGCCGTATTCCAAGCCAGGGACCAGGCAGGGCTGGGAGAACTTCACTAGCTGATGGGGAAGGCAGGCCATGATGTCACTATGGGGGGTCCTGGGTTCCCGGGCTCCTGGCAGGTTGTCTGAGGAAGGGCCGGGCCCGTAGGAGTTAGCAAGTGTCTGGGTGGTAAGCTGACTTCCCCCTGCAGAGCTGGAGGCCACTAGGATCTGGGAAGAGAACCCAGACGGTGGGGGGAGCCAGGTCCCACACCAGGGAAAGTCCTGCGACAGCCACCCTGTCACTGGAAGCCGAGGCCTTGTCTTGTATAGGGGCTGTGCTGATGGCTGCCCATAGGGACTGCTGGCTCCAAGTTTCTTGTAAATTAGGCCAAAGTGTCTTGGTGTCCTTGGTAGCAGGGGTCTGTCTGGCAGGTAGAGAAGGGTGGGAGTCTGTCAGTCCCGGGGGAGGCAAGCGCAGCCCCCTGCAGGGCCAGGGATGGGACTTGGGCCCAGGACGTCAGCAGTTTTCCCACAGCCTGCTGGGGCTTGAATTGGTTCGTGGGGTGTTTTGTTTCACTTTCAGTTTGTTTCGGGTTAGCTGTGCACCACAGCCTCTCTGGGCTGTGCTTGGAGGAACCTCCCAGACGGGAGGAGACTGTTCTCCCCATCCCACTCTGTTCTTTTTCAATATTTTGAGGCATAAAACGAAGGCAGACCAAAGCACTACTGTGCCCGTTTTATAGATGGAGCAACTGAGGCACAGAGAGATTCAGGGGAAACAACTCATCTGAGGTCAAAAGCAGAACTGGGATGTTCCTGGGCTCCTTATCCCTAGGCCTGTGGGAGGCAAGTAGCCGTAGAGGTGCTGAGAAAATCCCCGTGGGTGTCGTGGGGAGGTAGGCTCAGGCTTCTGCTGCGGGAGGCTCAGGAGCTGTGCTCTTGGAGAGCAGGACTGTGATGCGAGTGTAGATCCCCACAGCCTGCCCCCCTCTCAGAGACCTCAGGTCTGGAGTCATGAGGTGTTTGGCAGTGGCAGTCCCCACCTGGCAGAGCCACGTCCCCAGCTAAGGCCTTGGCCCTTCACAGGTGCATGCAGTGGGCTCCTGCTTCCTGTATAGCTTTGCCCTCAGCCTTTGTCACAGGACCTGTGCCCTCTCCCGCCCCCAAGCTGGCACTGGACATTGTCATGGCTGAAAACCCTAAACACCTTTAAGACCCAAAGGAGGGAATCTCTAATGGTGGAATGTGAGACACTAGGGGAGTGAGCTTGCACCAAGGAAAGACGGCATCCCACATCTCCGTATGAGGTCAGGGCTTTGGCTCAGAGGCCCTTCTATCACCTCACCTGCCCTGTCTCTCCACCACAGCTGTATAAGCCTGGAGGTAGTGAGGTCCTGTGACTTTGGGTGTCAGGATGGCTGAAGAGGAGACACAAAAGGAAGTCAGTTCTTCTCTAAGACTCCGTGATTCTTAGGGATATGCGTGTCCTCTACAATCCCATCCCATGTCTAGGACCCTGGGAACACTTGGCGTCCTGCCTAGGAATGGGAGAGCCTTGAAAAAAATGCTGGGTCAGCAGCTGTCTCTGGAAGCAGGATTCTGCCCGCCACCACTGGCTGAATAGTCCCTTAATCGCTCTCAGCCTCAGTTAGCCCATCTGTAAAATGGAGATAACCTTGTGGCTGCTTGGAAATGGGCTGGAACAGATGGCCTCCCTAAGCCCTCTCCCAGGTCTGAATGCCGTGCTGGGTACTCAGTAGGGCCCTGAATGTGGGGTGGAGAGAGCCTCCCTGCATGTGGCTTTTCTGTGTTTCTGGGAGCTTTGTATCTTTACCCTGCGTGGAGACAACTGCTCAGCAGCAGGTGTTTGCACGGGGACCCTGGAGTGTAGACCAGCTAAACCAGAGAAACTAAGGGGGTGGAGGGGAGAAAGGAAGAGAGCCAAACTGCTGATTCTTGGGAGAGTGGTTTCCTTGTTGAGGGAAGCTGGAGGTCTGATGGGGGTTGGGGCGTTGTGCATCCTGCAGGCTGCAAGGAGTGGTGAGGGTTTTGAACTTTGGAACAAAGACCCAACTGTGATGCCTTTGACCTTGGATTCGTGGGTGTGTTAAGGCATTTCCACTTGCATTGTTGGAGCAGCAGCCCCAGTCAGCACCATCCCCGCCTTCAGGGCCTCGTCTTCTCCACTAGGTGCCAGGACTCTGCCTGTGTCCCCTTCAGCCTGGCTGGGAGTCCCTTGAGTAGAACATCCATAAAGGGATCCAGCCATGCTTGGCTCCCCTGCTCATCAGAGCCCTCTGGCTGGGACCACAGCCACCAAGCGATTTGGAGGCATGTGTGCCAGCAGCCTGTGCTCTCCCCGGTCTAAGGAGGATGTGTCTGGCAGGCGAATGAGAGTCAGTACACAGTAATCTAGAACCTACTGCAGATGCATTAGTTACTGGGATCATGGACCAACCCCATGCAGTAAAAGGCACTTTGACCATTTTGTGGCTGAGATAACAGACTGAGGTTAAGTGATTTCAAACAGCTGAGACCTCTCCCCTCTGTAGGACTTTGGGAAGGGTGGGAATGTGCTGATCCCAATGGGAAGCAGGTGGAAGCCCGAGCTGGTGATGCTACAGATGTGGTAGACACGGGCTGGGTGAGATGACGTGGAGCTCCTTAGCATCCTCATGGTGGAAAGATGTCTCTGGATGCCTCCTTCAGCATGGTGCTCATAGGTAGTGGGAATTCATGTTGTTAATTGATCCTTTGAACTGGGCAGGGGGAAGCAACAGCTGAGCAGTTAGGAGGAGGGTGATGTGTCCCCAAAACTGAGAAGTCTGAGGACAGGGATGTAGGTGAACAAATGCCAGAGACACTCAAAGTGGTAGAATCTGAATAGTTTCAGGGAAAACATCTTTTTTTTTTTTTTTGCTATGGTAAAATATATATAGCATAGCATTTGCCATTTTAACCATTTTTAAGTATACAATTCAGCAGCATTAAATATATCTACAGCGTTGTGCAACTATCACCACTATTTGCTTCCAAAACTTTTTCATCATCCCAAACAGAATCTCTGTTCCCATTAAGCATTAAATACCCATTCCTCCCTCCCCGGCCCATGGTAACCACTAATCTACTTCCTGTCTCTATGTATTTGCCTATTCTAGATATTTCTTGTAAGTGGAATCATACAATACGTGTTCCTTTGCGTCTGATTTATTTCCCTTGTCATGTTTTCAAGGCTCATCCATGTTGTAGTATTTGTCAGAATTTCATTCCTTTCTATGGCTGAATAATATTTCGTTGTATGTAGATGCCACAGTTTGTCTATTCATTCATCTGTTGATGGACATTTGGGTTGCTTCCACTTTTGGCTACTGTGAATAGTGCTGTAGTGAACATCGGTGTCACAGAAAAGCATTTTTGATCAAGCAGTGGGTCTAGGCCCCAACCAGAAAAGGACCGTTTTTCTCCATTGATCAACAGGGACAAATATAGCGGAAAGCTTCAACAGCTTTGCTAGCTTTGCCAACCAGCAAGCCGTGCTAGGACATGCAGCAGCCATCATTGTCTTGTCTTTGGAAACTCCTTGGCCCTTGAAATCGGTAATAGTGCCTGAGATGCTTCCTTTGCAGTCCATTCTTGTGCCTCAGAGACCACCCTATCTTCATCTGTCAACAGGCACAGTTTGGTCTAGCTTCTGGCAAAGTGGTGATTTCTGGTTGAGCAACCAAACCAAACCAAACCTGTTGCCATCGAATCAATTCTGACTCATAGCGACCCTATAGGACAGAGTAGAATTGCCCCATAGAGTTTCCAAGACTGTAATCTTTACAGAAGCAGACCGACTCATCTTTCTCCCATGGAGCAGCTGCTGGGTTCGAACCACCTACCTTTCAGGAAGCAGCAGAGCTCTTAACCACTGTGCCACCAGGGCTCCTTGTGTTGAGCAAAGCTGCCTCCAATTGTCCAGAGTTGCTTCCTTCTTCTCATGACTGGAGGGCAGGGGAGGAAGTGGAAGAGGAGTCAGCAGATGCCCATTCTTTTCCTGCTTCGGCCTTCCTTCTCTGACTCTTTGCTTCCTTCCTGGCACCCAGTGGTACATGCGGAGTTATGCTACTTCCTTGGAGGCACATAGCTATAGGACCTAAGATTAAAGAATGATGCTGGCAAGGAATTTTGAGCCTCTGTGGTCCACCCACTTAATTGACAGGTGAGACAATTAAACACTGGGGAGTTTAACAACTTTCATCCCCTCCCCAGTCAATGCTTTAGTCCCAGTTGAGTTGTGCGCAGGGGACAGAACTCAGATTTGCACAAGAGATCACTGAAAGAATACAGGAAAATCTGACTGAACCCAAGTGTTGGGGAAGTACTTCCTAGATTCATGGGGCTGAGACTGGGAACCAGAAAGTCAGCATGAACCAGAGCAGCTTCTCTTGTCTCTCTCTGTCTCTTGGGGACCATGTAGGCTTAAATCACAGCTGCACTCTTCTCCTATCCACAGACTAGCCTTCCTTCTCATGGTTTCTGTTCAGCCATAACAGCAGCCTGTTCGTGTGGTGTTGGCTGTTAAGGCCAGACTCTGCTTGACTTTTCAGTTGAGACAACTACCACCAACTAAACAGTCTCTGGTTCTCTAAGTTCAAACTTTGAAGTTTGAATCTGGTTGGTT